TGAGATATCAAAAAAGTACTCCAGAGTGTTGTTCAGCATGGGGGTGAGTAGAAAATGAAGGCTAATCATGTTTTGGGTGTACTATTCCTTTAAGGCTGATTGCAAAGTGAACTAATTATCTAAAAAAGTTTCAACATGTGACAGTGTGCCAGACAGTTGGCAAAATAGTATGCCATATATATGTAGTTTTTCTAGGAATGTGTTGATAATTTGGAAGTTAAGTGTAAAGCAGTGAGCTGCTTAAAGTTCAGCAAAAAGTGTTCTGTGCAGAGGACTGTTCCTAGTTTTTAAAAGTGTATTTAGCAAAAATGCAAACTGAGCATGGTGTGTTTGTGCTTTTAGTTTTGCAAACTCAGCGGTTTTGCTGTAATTAATTTTACTAATTAATCAGTTAGGATTTAAGCATTCAGAAACTGTGAATTACAAATAAAATGTTTTATAGTACAGCAAAAAACCTAAGAAATCAATTAGATTAACTGGTAATTTCCCTTTAGTGACTTTAGTGTTTAAATGATGGAATTGGCAATTATATCGGAATAGAATTTTACATGACGTCAATTCCATAGACATACAGTTGACTTCCTTAGCATAAACCTTATGGCACAAATTTAAGACAAAAAGGGAGAGCATAAACCAAAACTCCTTCACACCTAGAAAATTAAAAGAACCTGATTGCATAGATATACAAACCTTTCACTTACATTTTGTTGAAGGGAGGCCTGCTGCCTTGGTTTATAAACATGGAGGGATTAGTATTGATGTTGAGATACTAATTTCTGCTTGACAATAACTCCTGTAAAAACCACTGTGCAGCTATATTATAGTATTTATTGACTGCAATATGCTGACTGTGCAAAATATGTGAATGGAATAGTCATACCACTACCTCACCTACTACACTTTAATGTAAAAGTTAATCCACCTGTATATAAGCCATCCGGATTGTACATGACACCTCAAATCTCTGCTACTCCCGTTTGTTTTTCATTGTGATACATGTACACTTGCACCTTATTTATCTTAAAATACTGTATATATAGTTTATTATACATTTTTTCCCCCTCCCTGTTTGCACCTTCTTTAATTTCTATGCCATTATTTGACCAGTGAATTTCTCCGCTGTGAGATCAATAAAGCTCATCTAATCTAATCTTGATATTCAGAGGTTAATTTATTTTGGCATTGCCCCCAATATAAAGGGTTACTGGAGAATTAAAACAGGTATTTAAAAGTCCTAAAGGAAAAAAACTGAACTCCCAACATGCAGACAGAAATGACCAGATGCAGATCAGACCAGAATGTGTTCCGATTATAACTGCTTTTAGTTGCTACGCCAACAAGATCGTCTCTTTGCATTTATACATTAATATGCGATTAAGATGACATCTTATAGATTACTAATCTGGATTTAGGATGTTAGGAGACTGTTATAACATTTACTACACAGGAAAGATTAGACTGCAGCTTTAATTTATCCCCCTGAAATATTTCAACCTGCGATTTGTGTTCACACTGTACAAAAATACATTTAATTAATTGAACAGTAAACTATGTACTAAACACATGAAAAAAATTCCCTGAAGAAGAAAAAAGTGACAAAAAGGTTTGTAAACTTAATAGATTTTATTGGCCAATGAAAACCAGTTCAGACAAGAATGCCGTATTGTTTCAGAACATCTGTGTATTTTGCAATCTTGCTCTCCACGTTCTTCTCTGCCTGCTTGGTCAATGTGACCGTTGCCTTTTTCTTGGCATAGCGAAGCTTGGACTTCTCCTTCCTCTTCTCTTCTAGAGTGGCTGTGATTGCCTGGTACTTCCAGCCGACCTCGTGGGCCAGACGTCCGAGGAGGGCAAACTAAGGAACACAAAAAAAAGAGGTTAGAATGACATTTTAAATGTTCAGGTTGAGACTTTGACATTCCATAATCTTTTTGGACTGGGGAGTCATACCTTACGGGTGGGCTTCAGACGCACGACTTTAAGAGCAGCTGGGACAACCATGCGCTTTCTCTGCAAAAATAAACCCAACATTAGGGAAGAAAAGAAACATTTTGCATCTACATGTTCATTGAAGGTTTAGTCTCAGGTTCTTGTATTCATCATACTGAATTCAGCCAAGGGGGATAAGAAGTACATCATCACAGACTGCATACATTTATTTTAATACAAATATATTGGCTCACCTTGTCATAGGGTGGGGGGATGCCATCAAACACCTTCAGCCTGTCCAGAGCTGCCTGGCCTCTCTTGGTTTTGTGGGGCAACATACCTAGGGTAAAGATTTAAACTTTAAAAATGATTTAAAGCTGAAAAATATGCAACTATCCAAGCACAGGACATTAATGCTCAACTCAGCAGTCAGATCTATATTTTGCTCATCAATGGATTATCAGTTTCGGGATAAAAGGCTCATCACTGTCGAGCAAATTGTGCAACATTTATAATGTATTTATTTTTTCTGACACGGCTCACCTCTAACAGTCCTCCAGAAGATCCTGCTAGGAGCTCTGAAGTGGTACGGTCCACGAGACGGATTTGTGTTCATCCGCTTCCGCAGGAACGCCAGATACTTCACTGTGATTGAGCACATTACACAGAAGGTTACTCATCCAATCAAAACAGGGAAAGGCCACTTCTAGAAGCGGCGCTCATGTCTCAGATGGTAGTGCATGTAAAGTATTCTCATGGTCAGTGAAACTCGAACTACATTGGGTAAAACATCACAGACAAGCATTCCCATTTAAGATCACGATTCGACAATTAACTTACGTTTGTTACGGTAGAAGTTGCCAGAGATGTTGATGCCCTCACATCTCACCACCACCACTTTGTTACCTGGTTGATCAAAAAAGACAAATTAATCATCAATACATAACATTTAATGGGTTAAACTTTAAAAAACAAAAAACAAAACAAAACACACTTTAAAGACATACCCAGGAGGACCTGCTTAGCCGTAATGGCAGCAAGTCGGCCCAGTAGATGGCCCCTGCCATCTATTAGCAGAACCTGCATGAGCAAACAAACTATAAATCACTTTGTATCATAAGGGTTAAACGATTCATGCTCAGTTTTCTCAAATTGCTACTTTTTATGCAAGTGGCTTAACACTAACCACTTTGTATTTAACTAATCATTAAACCCAAGTCTGATCTGAAGTGTATCCTCCCAGATAAACAGAAATTGAAGTCAAATCTACACAATTCTTCAAGAACCAAACACCTGTAAGGTAAGTAAGGTCATTTTAAAAGTCTGCATTCCTGATTATCCATTTTCAGATCAGAATCTAATAGAACATTCATTGAAGCATGTGAGCATTAGAGTGAATCAAATGACTTCATATATCGGTTAAATCGCTTAAAATGTAAATTAATCGCCATAGATTGTTACCCGTTTGTTAATTTCTTAACTTTTTTTAACTGTTTGAAAAGCCGCTAAATGAAAGGAACGACCAAGCTAAGGGGAAGCTAACTTTAGCATCAACCACGCAGCACGATCAAATTCGAATCAGAGGCCAGCAATAAAGAAAAAGGTAAATGTACACATGGTAAAACTACATTAAATTAGCGCGACCGCGTTAATAAAACCCTTCTACCAGTTTAGATGGTGAAGCTAAACCAGTTACCTCCTAAGGGAAGCTGCCATGATGGAAAGCATGTCCACACAGATACGGCCGGGTGTCGGTGATTATCGCAAAAATAATAAGTTTAACAGCAAAAAAAGAACAAATAAAAGCGCCATAACGAAAGAATAAAGTTACTTAGTGCTGCTCTGATACTATAGGCATCGATTTTCGACCTGAAAATGGATTTTACATAGTTTATATATCCGCAGCGTCTGCTCACCTTATTGAACCGGTCCGCCATGATGTGCGAAAAGAAAGAAGAACGGGGCTGCCCGCACTAAAAGGCAGGGGCAACCGGAAGTGACGAAGATGAATTT